AGAGAGCGGGAGAGACAGAGAGAGGTCTTCCATCCGCTGGTTCACTCCCCAGATGGCCGCAGCGGCCGGAGCTGCGCCAATCCGAAGCCAGGAGCCAGGCACTTCCTCCTGGTCTCCCATGCGGGTGCAGGGGCCCAAGGACCTGGGCCATCCTCCACTGCCTTCCCAGGCCACAGCAGGGAGCTGGATCGGAAGAGGAGCAGCCGGGACTAGATCCGGCGTCCATGTGGGATGCTGGCGCTTCAGGCCAGGGCGTTAACCCGCTGTGCCGCAGCGCCGGCCCCCTGAGCTGCTTTATAAGAGCTCTGAGGAGGGTGTACGGCAGGAAACTGTGAATTCATTTCAGAAAACTGCGCCGCTGCAGACAGGATGCTGTTTGGTTTCAAAGCAGATCGCTGCGGCCATTAGAATTTCTCGCATCCTTGTTCCATTTCTTTATTTTAATCATTTGCAAGGCAGAGAGAGACACAGGAAGACTTTGTATCCACTGGCTCACCCCCCAAATGCCCACAGCAGCTGGGGTGGGGGGGACCTGGAACCTGGAGCTCAGTCCAAGGCTCCACATGGGTGCCGGGGACCCCAGTACTGGAGCCATCACTGCTGCTCCCAGGGGGCATGAGCAGGGAGCTGGACAGGAAGTGGAGAGGCCCTGGGTCTAGCACTGGGGACAGTTGACAGCCCTGTGATGACTTGTGGTCTGCTGCTCCCAGGGAGCCATAAGCAGGGAGCTGGACAGGAAGTGGAGAGGCCCTGGGTCTAGCACTGACGGGGACTGTGGACAGCCCTGTAGGTGTGGTCAGCTCCCAGGGGCCATGAGCAGGGAGCTGGGACAGGAAGTGGAGAGGCCCTGGGTCTAGCACTAATGGGGACGGTGGACAGCCCTGTGACGTGTGGTCAGTTCCCGGGGGGCCATGAGCAGGGAGCTGGACAGGAAGTGGAGAGGCCCTGGGTCTAGCACTGGCGGGGACTGTGGACAGCCCTGTGACATGTGGTCTGCTGCTCCAAATGCCTGCCCCAATTTCCCACATTCAGAATGGGCTGATTGCATTCCTGCCGTGTCATTGAACATGTCCCTCTGTCCTTTGAATTACCATAAACTGACAGATCTGGAAGGTTATTTTGATCAAATCCAGGTTAGATTTTAAGTTGTTTTTTTTTTTTTTAACATATGTGGTACATTGATAGGGTGACTAGCCATCCTTATTTGCCTAGAAATGAGGGATTTCCTGGGAAATCTGACTTTTTTTTTTTTTTTTTTTTAATTTGACAGAGTTAGAGAGACAGAGAGAAAGGTCTTCCTTCCATTGGTTCACTCCCCTAATGGCTGCTACGGCCAGCGCGCTGTGCCAATCTGAAGCCAGGAGCCAGATGCTTCCTCTTGGTCTCCCACATGGGTGCAGGGCCCAAGCACTTGGGCCATCCTCCACTGCACTCCCGGGCCACAGCAGAGAGCTGGACAGGAAGGGGGCAACTGGGATGGAATCCGGTGCCTATATGGGATTCCGGTGCCACAGGCGGAGGATTAACCAAGTGCTCCACGGTGCGCCCCCCACCCCTTTTTAAAAGATTTTATTTATTTAAAAGGCAGAGTTACACAGAGAGAGGGAGATAGGGAGCAGTCTTCCATCTGCTACTTTGGTCCCCAAAATGCCTGCAACTTTCAGAGCTGGGCCAGACTGAAACCAGGGTCAGTCCGGGTCTCCCACGTGGGTGCAGGGGCCCAAGCACTGGGACCATCTGCTGCTGCTTTCCCAGGCCACAGCAGGGAGCTGGATGGGATGTAGAGCAGCAGGGCCCTGGAACAGTGCCCATGTGGGATACCGGCCTTGCAGGCAGTGGCTTTGCCTGCTGTGCCACAAAACCAGCCCCGAATTATTTATTGTCATCAACTTGAAAGACAGAGTCAGTCTGTCTCGCTCTCTCTCTTTTTCTCTTTATTTCTCTCTTTCTCTCTCTCTCTCTCTCTCTCTCTCTCACACACACACACACATACATGCATGCAGAGAGAGAGAGAGAAATCTTGCATCCACTGGTTTACTCCCCAAATGTCTGGAGCCTGGAATTGCATCTGGGTCTCCCACATGAGTGGCAGGGTCCCAAGCACTTGGGCCATCCTCTGCTACTTCCCAGGATGTGTTGGGGAGAAGCTGGGTTGGAAGTGGAGCAGCTTAGACGGCAGCAGGCACCCTGATGTGGGGTACGCGTGTCCCGAGCGCAGCTCAGCCCAGCACTCCGCAGTGCCTGCCTCTGGCGCCTTGGCAGAGGTCCCCCCACCAGTGTGGTCTGGTCTGCCTGGGGGCACACCCAGTTTACACTAGTTGTCCCATGTCATTTTTTCTTTATTTTTTTAAAAGGCCTGCTTGCTTAACTGATTTCCAGACTCTGGTTTTCACTCTCCAGATGTCTGCAATAGCCAGGTCTGGCCCAAGCCGGAGCCAGGAGCCAGGAGCTCCAACCTGGTCTCTGGAGCCCAGTCCCTGGGGCCATCTTCCGTTGCCTTCCCGGGCACATTAGTGGGGAGTGGCTTTGAAGCAGAGCTGGCAGTCCGATGGCGGGGGGGTCAGTGTTGCCGATGGAGGCTTGACCCGCTGGCACTCTGCGTCTTGGAGGATCGTAATCCTGTGTCCCTGCGACCTGCTGGGGTTGGTTTCCCTGGAAGGAGGGCCTGAGTAGGGCTCAGGTTCACGTGGCTTGCTGAGGGAGGAAAACCCAGTGGAGGAGGAGGGGACGCATCATACCTCCAGGGAAAGTCTGGACTGGACTTTGTTCATGGAGAGCACACTGCTTGAGGGCGGGAGTCTGCTCCGTGCCCGGCACTCCTGGCCACAGGCTTTGGGGGAGGCCTAGGTCGGCTGGAGGGCCAGGGGAGACAGCTGGGAGTCATTAGCCACCAGCACGGAGAGCATGCTGGCTCTGTTGCACCCAGTGCTGGTCCCAGATGCGCGTCATCTCCAGTTCAGCCGGGGAGGCTGTAGTGCATCGGCCTGGAGACAGAGGGAAGATCAGGCTCTCAGGCCTTGCCTCGGGTCTGTCCCAGGTCTGTCTGCTCTACAACAAGGGTGGCGACGCCCTCTATGGCTACTGCAACCTCAAGGACAAGTGCAACAAGTTCCACGTGTGCAAGTCCTTCGTCAGGGGCGAGTGCAGGCTGCTGTCCTGCAGGCGGTCCCATCAGCTCATTCACGCC